CTCCATTTCTGACTATCCCTGCTCGGAAACCCCTCTTTGTTATTTTGGCAGTGTTAGAATAAATCTTGATGCAATTACGTTCTCTTACCTGATTCTTCTTACAGATTGTCTTGGACATCGTTGGCCTTATACAAAGTTACTTAACTATTGGAACCACAAGAAGACCACAAAATAAATTTGAAACCACAAAATAAAATTGTTGCATTTTTGATTGGGATTGTATTAAGTCTATAGATAAATTGAAATATTTAAAATATTGAATCACCATCATGGTTTAGCTCTCCATTTATTCAGATCTTCTTTATATTCCCTCAGAAGTGCTTATAATTTTCTGTATAGAGTCCTGAGCATCTTTCTGTTATATTTATTCCTAGGCATTTTTTGATGTTATTATAAATGGTATTTAAATGGTTTTAACTTTTGATGTTACATAGAAATGCAAATTAGCTCTATAAAGTGACCTTGTGACCAGCTATCTTTCTTAACTCTTAAATTCTAATAATTTAGATTTCCTATAAAAATATTCCAAAATATCAAGGTTTGTTCATCCCTTCAAATCATCATATATTTTATTGATTGTTCTTGAGTTAGCTAGGATCTTATTACACCATAAAGTAGTGACAGTATTCACTCTTGTCTTGTTCTCACATTGCAGACTAATTTATCCTTTAATTTCTTTCTATTGTTGTTTCACTTTGAAGACGTATCATTTGGTGCATGCAAATTTAGATTTGCTACCCTTGCTTAGTGAATAGGATCCTTTTACTGTTACAAAAGGTCTTTTATATCTCTAGGAAGGGAAAAGCTATTTTGCTTAATATTAACATAGCTACACTTTTATGGTTAGTGTTTCTATGATTAAGTAGATCTTCTATTCTTTTTCTTTCAAACTTTCTCTAATCTTATGTGTTAGATATATTTCCTGTAAACAGAGTACAATACTTTTTTAATCTTTGTCTCTTAACAGAAACACTTAAGTCCTTACTGAAAACATTTACCTAACGTAAGTTATTACTTAAATATTTAATTTCCTATAACATCTTGCTATTTGCCAAGCCTATCCTGTGTGCTTTCCTTTGCTTCTTCTGAATTGATTGTATATTCTTTATTATTCTTTGTTTTCTCTTTGATTTAGTTTAGAGGTCATAAGCCCTTTCATCACTTTTCCATTCTTCCCACCTGAGACATCACAGCGTGCATCTTTGACTTATCAAAATCTAGTTGTACTTTATTTTCTTCTCAGACAGTGTGAGGACTCTAGAACCTTTGCAGGGGTGAGTGTGCTGGGAACGGAACCCAGAGCCCTGTCCATGCTAAGCACACAGTTTATGACAGACTATACCCCAAGCCCAAGGCCCTCAGAATGTTTAACTTCATTTACTTCCCCTAGTTTTAAAATTTTATCATTTTATTTTATTTTGTGACTTTTTTGAGTTTGCAGTTTTCCTCTGTTGTCCAGGCTGGCCTCTGCCTCCCAAGAGGGTGTGAACCATCCCTGTGCCCGGCTTATCATCTTATTTGAATTCTGTATATTTGAAACTATTTAGACAGTGTTACTAACTTTATATGGTCAATATCCACCAAAATTACCATGCTTACAAAGGTTTCTTGATCTTTACTTTCTTCTTATAACTCTGACATTCCTTGTACTTAAAGAATATTTTTTAGGAGAAGTCTGGTGATACTGTTATTTTTTTCTCTCTCTCTTTCTGAAAATATCTCAAAAGATATTTTTCCCAGATAGGGAATAATTCTAGGTTGGCAGGGTGTTTTTTTTTTTTTTTTCCAGCAGTTCCAAGGAATCATTTTATGTTCTGGCTTTCATCTGATTTTTTTTCATGATCTTTTTATCTTTGCAGATTCACTAGGATGTGTCTGGAGATTTTCTTTTTCTCTCATTTTAGTTTTTTCTGCTTGGGGTTTGAGTAGGGTTTCTAGACTCTGTGGATGGCTGTCTTTTGCCAGATTTAGGGAAAAAAATTCTGAGTGTTAGCTCTTTACATATTACTCTTCTCCACACTGCCTCTTTTTGTCTCTTATCCTTTCTTTTGTGTTTTTCCAAACTCTTGACTTTGGGGGTTTTATGCGTTATATCTGTCTCTCTAGAAGACACTAAGATAGGTGATTATTTAATTATTTTAACGGAACAATTTTGGACCTGAAAATTCACCATTTTTCTCTCTAGCTATCTAAGTTCCTATTAAATCTGATCTACTCAGTTTTTTAAATGTTATATTATTCTGCTCTAAATTTTATTCAAATATGCATTGTCTCTTTTAAAATTGCAGTCATCTGCTGAAAGGTTTAACCTTGTCTTTTTATCATTTTGATTCTAGAAAACAGTTGTTTTATAATTTATGTGGGAGATTTAGAGCCTTTCTGCTGTTGCTTCTACTATCTATTTTTTGTGTGTGCTGGTTTTAGTTTAGGTTGCCCTGAGTCCTCCACCTGGGTATCTTTGATTATGTGCAATGACATTTCAAGTGAATCAAAAATAATTTCAGGTTTAAGGGTAATTCCACCCTCGCCCCCGCCCAGGATGACTTGTTTGCTTCTGCCATTGCCCAGGGTAGGAGCAGACCAAGAAGGATATAATGCAGTTCTAGTACTGGAACCCTCTGGGCTGCATTAGAGCTATTTTACTCATACTCTTCGAGCACAGCTTTGAGGCTGTTGCAAAGCAGAGGAGGTAGATGGGGCTCCCACTCCTGACAGCCCAGTGCTGTTTGTCCACCTAGCCTTGAACATGAATATCCACGATTCAATTCCCACTGATTTCTTTCAGACTGCAAATGCCACTAGGGTGCAAGTGGACTTGCTTTCCAGTTTTAGCCCCCTCCCCTAGATTTCCAATTTCACTTGAATCATGGTCCAGTAACTCTTCAACATCCTGTTGGCTCTCCCTTGGCCTTGGGCTGATGCTTATCTTGTTTGGTGGCTTTTTAGTTGTCTCCAGGGGCCTGCATTAACTAGTTCACCACATTAAGAATCAGATTTTTGTTACATAAAATATGAATTGGATTTTAGTCTCTGCTCTGGAACGTAAAAATTATTTCAACCTTGAACAATTTACTTATGGTCTATGGATCTGTTCCCTCATATATCAATAGAGGGATTTGAGCAGGGTTACATGGGCCCCTGGAATTCAGTTTCTACATGATTAACACTATTTAGGGGGAAATCGCAGAGTGGATTTTAGCAAGGGGAATGTGTTAGTCAGCTTTTGTCACTGTAATAGATATTGAAGATCACAACTTATAAAGAGAAAAGGTTATTTTTGGCTCAATTTTAGAAGTTCTGGTTCATGATCAGATGGAGCCATTTCTTTTCTGCCAATAGAGGAGCAGATGCTGGACAGCAGTGGCAAGGTGTGGCAAAACAGAGCCATTTACGTATAGCTGGGAGCAAAAGAGAGAGAAAAAAAACAAGAGACAGGCTCCCACTCTCCCCTTTGAGAGCACTTCTCCAATAATCTCTCTAGGTCCCATCTCTTGAAGTTTCAATCACCTCCTAAGAACACTACCCTGGGCACCAAGCCCAGACATGAACCTTTGGGACATTCCAGTTCTAAATTATAGCAAGGATGCAAAGAGAGAAGAGTCATAAAAGATAGTAACCATTGCTATTTTCCCCCTAGCGCTAAGAAAACATGGAATATGGTAGTACTAATAAGTATTTTAGGGGGAAGAAAAAAGAGAAGAGGAAAGGAAAGAAAACTTACTGGCAAGTGATTTGCTAACATTTTTAAAAAATCTGTGAAGCCCCCCCCCACCGCCCCCAGCATCAATGTTGTCAGGCCAAGAACTCCCTGTGTAGCCTTACTTGTCTGATCTCAGGAGAAACAAGAAGAGGAATGGGATCTGGTGGGCTTGCAGGACCTGAGGAAACTATTAACTCACCATGTCCACAAGCCTTATTCAGCAAGAAAATGTAGCAGTTCAGGCCTCATTCAAAGCAGCACACTTGATAACGGGTCGAGTTAACCCCAGAGTTCACATCCCATCTCCCTCCACCCCACTGCGCACAGCTGTCTATCACCATAACAACGGATGTGACAGAAGTCAAGGGACCTTGTCAAACACCCTAGAGGCTGATTAACAAAGAGAACTTTGCACATCTAGTTTGCTTGTAGTTTCTCTCCCTAGGTTTTCTTTTTGTAGTCTCTCATCATCTTTGAACATAAGACACCCACTTCTTTTTTTTTTTTTTTTTATTTTTTAGTTCTCGGCAGACACAACATCTTTGTTGGTATGTGGTGCTGAGGATCGAACCCGGGCCGCACGCATGCCAGGCGAACGCACTACCACTTGAGCCACATCCCCAGCCCCGAGACACCCACTTCTTGACTAGATGTGAACCCACATGAACTAAAATCATCCATAGGGAGTGCATGTTATGACCAAGTGGCCCTTTCATTGAAGAGCTTAAACACTAGATGGCTGTAACAGAACACTCATCCTATGGAATAGAAGGACAGAAACATGAGGGAAGGCCAGTTAGTCTTCATAATCTGTGTCCTTAATTGAGGTGTCCATGTTTCTATGTTTCTATTCCTCCTTTCTGCAGTCAGGGGAGCTGTCTGGCATAGATTCTAAATTTCTAAAAATAAATGACATGTTTTCATGTCACGACACATAAAAAAATATCTAATCTGTTATTGTGGGTCCACGTTTGTAAAAAATGCTGTATTATTTCACTTATAATAAAAATGATCTCATTTTTTTGCCTTATTCTAATGGCAGATAGAGAAATGACTGACTTTGAAAAAGTCATGTTTTCCCATGGAGAGTATGACAATTACATAGATTACTACTTTGTCAAGAATCTATCTACCCATCTGATGTATTTTCTTTTTTTTTCTTAAACTTGCTGCATTTTAAAGTAATTAATGGATTTTTCTCAATGTAAAACAAAACAAAACAAAACAAAAAAACAGATACCCAGGCCAATATGTCATGGATATAAAAAAGTCAACAGGGCTGAAGTTAACAAACTAAAGATTTGTTTCTGAATAGCTTTATTGGTAAGGTTAAATGAAATTTGTCACCATCAAAATCTCAGGGAATAAAGCTCTAAAGTTAAACTTATATTTCCAAAGTGTCTTTCTTCTAAGGGGAAGAAAATCTGCCAAGGAACATAATGCTAAGTGTGGGGTTGTGCCGAATAAAGAAAAGGAATGGGTGGTCGGCTGTGAAATCTTCCTCCGGCATCAACATGCAGAAGGTGGCGACTCCTGCTGTGGCCGCCGCAGCCTCCGTACCCTCCTCATTCACTTCCACAAAGGACTTGTGGACAATTTTTGATATAAAAAGATCTCTGGCTCCTGACATGCCAGAGAGATCAGCTTTGCTACTATTAAAGAGATCTTGCACACCCAGGCGGGTGAGGTCCGAGTTGAGAATGTAGCTCTCTTCCAGTTTGAACCTGGGCAATTTGACATTGACCTCAATGATATCCAGATTCTCAGGTTTGGTCCACTCCTGCAGTTTCTCCAAAGTCAATTGTTTCTCAATCTGGAATTAGAGTAAGGAGAAAAGAAAGAAGAGGTAAAGTTGATTTCATGGAAGTAAAGTAATAAATTATTATTTAAATGAATGGGTTCATAATAATGATTGCTAATAGGTTTCCTTCACATTTGGTGCCAAAAAAAGATTCCATTTAGAGAATTTAATTTTTGTCTGGCATTGGTGAAACAGAAAAGAGCTATGCTCTAAGTCATCAAGGGTCCAAGTAAAGGACTTTGGATATTGGGGCTATCATCTATCCATCACATACCCCCTCTACAAACCCACTCATCCACTCTCCTCCATCCTCCTATCCCTCCCTCCCTCCCTCCCTTCCTTTATCTATCCATCCATCCATCTATCCATCCATCCATCCCATTCATTTCTCCATCCTCCCATCCCTCCCTCCTCAGGGCATACTAAATCCCTACCACACTGGATCACTGTGATAGGCCATGACAGTTTTTATTACCCTAATTAGTTAAGTGATACAAGGAAAATTTCTAAAGGTCCCTACTATTTACTCTGAAAGCTACTGGACCTGTAGCAATCTGTAAATCAGGTGTTGAGGTAGTTTCTAATAACTTTAGCTTCTAGGTAAAAATTAAAAAGTTAGATGATGTGTTAGACCTAGTTCCTAATTGAAAATGGGGGTAATAATTGCACCCATCTTATAGCATTGTTTTGAATACTGAGGTGATATCTTCAAAGTGCTTGGCACATGATAGTGCTATATAATGTTAAGTATTAACATTACTACTACTATTACTACTACTACTACTACTACTACTACTACTACTACTACTACTATTAGACTAGAATAGAATCATCATTCCCCTTGTATTAGTGATGTGATAATTCCTTTCATGAAATTGGAGACTTACACTTTGAAATCAGAAAAGACTGATTTGGAAACACAACCAAAAGAAAGAACACATTGATTTTGCAAATGATTAACCCTTCCTGATAACAAGTTTTAGTTGGGTAGAGGCAAACTACACAGTAGGCTAAGGACACTGAAGAAAAACTGTAATTCTCACAATTTTGCATATTTCTAACTCTGGAAAGAGATGCCTTGTCCTTTAAATTATACACAATGAAAACATTATGCCAAGTTCATATTAGTTGAAATCAACATGGCACATGAATCTTCTCTTTCATGAAGAATTTTAATTGATGAGTTATGTGAACTGTGATGAAAGTGGATAGTATACTAATAGGCTAAAGCTATAAAGTAAAATGTTTGGGTTTTAAAATCTTTTTCCTCATCTTACTATAATTTCCTTTAAGGTTAAGTCAAGAGACTTCCCATAAGTTGCCACTAACCAAAGTGATATTTAGTATAAATTTCTAGATGTTCCCCATCACAACTATTTGCTGAAAGTTGGGCATCTTGAAATTTAAACTTAGGGTTTCTGGGCTAGGAAGGTAGCTCACACAGTAGAATGCTTGCTTAGCATGCACAGGGCCCTGAGTTTGATCCCTAGCACTGCAAATTAATAACAATAACAATAACAATGATGATGATGATGATAAATTCAGGGCTTTATAACAGTAATTGCTGATGGGTTATATTTACAAAGAAATGGCAAAGCAGTGGACAGGAATGTTCAGGTAAAGCCAGTAAACACATAACAAGTACCCACCATGCAACATCGACACAGGAAGAATCAATGTAGCAAAAGGAAGCACAAATTATGAGGAGCCAGTTACCTTCTTCAGACCTGTGGAATCATCCTCAATATCATCTGGCAGCAGAATAATCATGCTGAGCTCCCTGCCTTGGTAAGGCAGTTCCAGCACCCGACACTTAAGGTCCTGGATGTAGCCATATGGAAATTTTTTCTTCTGATACATCATCTTCACTGTTTTTGTGTCTTTCTAAATAGTTAAGAAAAAAATTACTTAAATTGTTCTCTATGTTATTTTAGAGTAGAGTAACTTGGGGTCTGGGTGTGTAGCTGTGGGCTGGGGGAGAATGTGTGCTTAGGAAGGCCATGAACTCAAAAGTGTCTCAAAAAAATAATAATTTGGGGACCATTTCATCACCTGACCTTATTCAGTCTGAATGGTGCATCGGTTGTGGACTTTTTCATGAATTTCTCCTGCCAGTTTCCCTTGAAGTAGATGGCATTCACCAGCACGAGTTTAGTCATATTATCAACCACACCTGGAGCCAACACTTCTGGAATTTTCCCTGAAAAAATAAAGTGAACTTTTTGAAAGCTCTACATTGGAATTGCAAATTTGAACTGACAATTTAAATGCAATTCAAACGTGTGCTTTGTACTTAATTTCCTTTTAACATAGTGTTGGTTAAGAAAGCCTGACTGTAGTGTTCCTACTTTTAATAAACCAATTTGTAAGGCAGACCAGGATGGCATACAAAACATTTCAAAGGAGCCAACACTTTTAAACAATTCAAATGTGGGGGCTGGGGGGTGTAGCTCAGTGGTTTAACACATGATCAACATGCATGAGCTCTGGGTTCTATCTCCGGGATCTCAAAAAATAATTTGTTTTTCGAAGTCGTAAAAGCAAGTCAAATATGCTCAAAACCTAAAAACAAGAAAACTCCTTTCCTGGATTGTGTGTAAGCAATCAGTGTTGTTTTATGAATGGCTATATTTTTACAGTAAAAAAAAAAATAATCCTTCACAGAAGTGTTTTTGGTTACTCGTTCCTTCTTCAAATCTGCCAAGTAAAAGCCTACTCTGGCCAAAAAAAGATTTTAACAAATAACCAAACAGTGGATGAATCAGTCCACTCAAACAAAGGCTCCACCCGGAGAAGCCAGGCACTGCCCAGAACAACTGTAATATAAGACAGCTGTTCTCAGGGTTCCTGGGCACACAGTATGTTAGAAGAGAGGCATAGTAAGATATATAAATTGAGCCCTGACCCACCAACACAATCCCCACTCATCATACCTGATTTACGGCAGTGGTTTGTGAATACTGATTCCATGTATTCTTACATTAAATAACTTTGGGCAGGCATTTTATTCCTTTTATTCTGCATTAATGTTGGTTTTAATTTTAAAATGTAATCTGGGCAACCTTATGGGAAGAAGCTATTTCTTCATTAGTTCTGCATCTGTTAAATTATGTCTACGTTTCTCCTTTGATGGATTTCTGACATCTGAGAGCTGCCCAGCTAAGGGGCACTGAAAAGTTCACACATGGGGTATATAGTTCAGGATTTAGGAGGTAGTGAGAAGAAGAGGAAATAAGATGCAGATGAGGAAGGTGGATGGAGGGAAAGAACCTATACAGAATGATTCTGCCACAGTTTGGATAAGTATCCCCCAAAGGCCTATGTGTGGAAGGCGTGGTCCCAAGCCTGTGCTGCTGTTGGGAGGTGGTGGAACACTTAAGAGGTGGGGCCTAGTGGAAGGTCTTTAAGTCCTTGGGAGTGTCCCCTCAAAGCTCAGTGGTAGAGTGCTTGCCTAGCACATATGAGGCACTGGGTTGGCTCCTCAGCACCACATAAAAAAAAAAATAAATAAATAAAATATATATCTATAAAAAAAAAAAAACTCTAAGGATTGTGGAATGCCTGTGGAATGCCAGGATGCCAATCCATCCTTCTTTTATTTTTACTTTTTATTTTTTATTTTTTGTCAAACTGGGGCCTTGCATAATCTAGGCAAGTGCTCTGCGACTGAGGGGCAACCAAAGTTCCTCTTCTTCTTTCTTTTAATATCTGCCCATGTGATCTCCTGTGCCATACTCCCTACCATGATGTACTGTGCTGCTGCCACAGGCCCCAAAGCTACAGGGCCAATCAGCCAGGGATTGAAATCTCCAAAAATATGAGCCAAAATATGAGCTTTCTTTCTATAGGCTGTTTCTCTCTCTGGTATTTGTTATTGTAACAAATAAAGCTAACACAGATTCCATGCTGCAGATCTCTCACCTTCTGTCTGACCTTTGACCCACTGGTTTATGGCCTTTCTGGATTCCTCATAGGCATTTTGAAAATCCACACTGGCCAGATCAGCACCATACTTTTCCTGAGTTGAAGCCAAAAACTCCTATTTGAAAAAAAAAAAAATCATGAATAACTTCTACTACATACCGAAAGTGGTTTTCTAAAATCTTGAAAAGCAACAGAAATTGTCCTAAAAGACTATAATTCATTGCAACATGAAAGTTCTAACCTTTATGATTTTTTTTTTTTTTTTTGTAGTCAAAAACACAACCCCTTCTTAACCGTTTGTAAGGGTAGAGCAGTTTGGTAGTAGTAAGTTTGTCTCTTGTAACATTTTTTCAATACTAGGGATTCCACCCAGGGTCTCACAAGTGCTAGACAAATGCTCTCCCAATGTGTTACACCCTCAATCATTTTGTGAAATTTTAATTTTGAGTCAGTGTCTCACTAAGTTGCCCAGGGTGGCCTCACACTTAACAATCCTGCTGCCTCAGCCTCCCAGAGAGCTGAGATTACAGGCATGAGCCACTGACCCTCACACTTTTGGTGTTACATAAAGCATAACGATTCTTTTCAAACGCTAGACTAATGTCATAAATAAGCGAATACTGATTGTTCTAAGAAGTGAATCATGGGATTTGCTCCTGCTTTCATCAAACATCCAGAGTGATCTCTTCATTGCAAAGGCTAGAATACAAAAACCACCACGTTAGTTAATAGGAGTGCTGTTTGTGGTGTTTTCATTCTGTATTGTTTTTATAAATGTGAGTAAATATTAAAACCAACTTGATTGTGCTGGAAAAAAAAATCTGCACCTTCTGGTGGAGTTTTAGAATATAAAGTACAAAATACTTACAGGGAGGAAGTTATAGGTTTTCTCTCCATATAACCTATTTGCAAGTTTCAGAATATAGAAGGCTCCATGTTTGTTCATTTCCGCGTTCAGGCTCTGAAATCTTGAATGAATGTCCTCAACCATATCGAAATGAAAAGTCTAAAATAGAGAAAACATTCTTTTTGCCACCATTTGTTTTGAAATTATAAAGTGATTCTTTGGTGTTTGCTTCCATCAAATCGAATTACTGTCTTTATTATCCCCAATTATTGATGATACCCAACCGGATACTTTATTAATTTGTCATAGGAGAACAAAAAAATAGGGAATCCAAAACTTATGATTTGGTGAGGCATAACAATTGCATTTAAAAACTGCTTTTACACCTTTTTTTGGGTTAAAATTATGGTGCCACAAATGTGAGTGGTTGATACATTAAATATTTACATGTCTGCTCACCCCCCCCCAAGAAAGTCCTAAAAGGCATGTTTCTACTGTTTCTATATTGTATTTTACTGAAAGTTCTCAGGAATAAACAGTGAAAATAAGAATCATCCTTTATATCATACTACAAAAATATTACAAATTGAGGCGTTTTCTTTTGATGAACCTATTCGCATCCACAATTCACTTATTTAAAAAGTACTTTTTAAAAGTTAACATCATGGCAGAAGTTTAATTTCTCATGTGTCAGTTAGAAATCAAGAAGCCTTTATAGTTTTATGAGTCCTGGGCTGGTTCCTCGATTTGAAGACACAAAGAACAAAACCACTCAGCATCCAAAGTCCACATTACTCTCCGAGATCTGCAGTGTTTGTGCTGTTACTAAGATCCACCTGTTTTAATAAAACTGGGGAGAGAAAACCTTAAGACTATTCTCTGCTGAAGTCCCTGGAAGTTCTCAAAATAGGAGCCCTTAGAACCTTGCAAAAAAAAAAAAAAAAAAAGCAACTAATGGCATTAGAGGCTTTGAAAAGGGTGGAGCTTTCAGATCTGCATGGATGCATATCAAAGCACTGCAGTTGAAGCACTGAACTTCAACCCACAGCTACACCTTTGTGAAAACAGGTACAGTGTGATGTGTGGCAGGTGTCTTAGAAAACCCTCCATGTTTGCACTCCTCTCTAGGTCTTGAGAGGACATCAAACACGAATGTCCCCTCCGTGTCCAATAAGAAAAGCAAGGAAGAGAGGTATCCCTGCCTCTTTTCTTGCTGAAAAAAGTGATCTGCCATATCACCAGAGGTTTGGTCCTGCTCCCAAGCTCCTGGGCTTCCCAGTTCCCCATCTGCTTCAGGGCCCTTCTACTATGCCACCAGCCCACAGAGAAAGGCACAGGGGTGAGCCGTGGGAATACAGGATCACACAGTTGTTTTTTTCCCTGTCCCTACAAAAAGGCAACTCCTTCACTGTAGTGCATTCCCCATGTTTCATTAATCTCATGCTCAAAGATGATGCTATATAACAAGTACTAGCAAAGCAAAAACTGGAAACTGCTAGCTCTGGTGAGGTAAAAGGACTTACAGAAAATGTGTCAAAGATGTACTCCCTGTTATAAAAGTACCACCCAGCAGGGACTGTGTTGGCTTTGTTCATTGCTGTAGCCTTAGCAAAACAAAAACATAGTGTCTGGCACATAATGGGTGCTCAGTAAAGATAATGAATAAAAGCTTGCAGGCAGATGGACTGTTTTGAGGGCTTTTCTCAGAGTTTAAATTTCAACATGGACAGCTGTTGAACACAGTTCAACATACAGTTTTAAAAACACACTGCAAGAGCTCAAAGATGCAACTATTCAGCACAGACTTTAGATGGGAGAGGGCAGGGAGAGCAAGCCATTTTTGTTTCTGCTGACCTTGGAAAGCTGTGCTGCAGTATTGCCTCTGGTTCCCAGATACACCATGCCCATCGCAGATGAAATGCTGAAGGGAGAGATGAAGATGTTTCCCGTAGGATTATTTTCACTCAGGGCGAGGAATAGGTCCAAGGCAAAAAGAGTGTTTGCTGTGCTCAGCTTCTCCATGGTGAAGGCTTTAAGACAGAACAAAGGTCCCACATTGTTCCCAGCCCACACACCAGCAAATAAGGCCACCCTCCTTCCCTAGCATCTTCCTCAAATTGTGTCCACCACCCCTCTGGAACCTGGACTTTGCCCACCCCTGCCCCCAGCCCCTTTTTTTGATCTTTCCTTTCCCCAGGAGGCTCAAACCCTCTCCCATGCACATGAAGGTGGTGTCTGACTTCAGGAGAAGCCCAGGATCAGGACCTCGGGTGTCCTAACCTGCTCTCACCTTGCAGACTGGTGAGCCTGACAAGGGGCCCAGGTCCACTCAGTGGTCTTGGCCTGACCCCCAGCCCTGGGTCCATCCCACCTACTAAGAACACATACATTTGAGAACACATATTTCTGTCCCTTTGTTTCAAATACCTTGTTCATTTGGGCAATAAATCATTGCCTACATTTTCCGGAAGAATATTTCTAATAGAAAAAAAAAATCAATAGCAACCGACCCTGCATTAAAAAAAAAAAATTCTGGCAAAGATGTCATTACTAAAATAATCATTCTCATTTTGGAGATTCAGTAGCAAATGTTTAAGAGGTCAAGGGCCCAAAGTCTCAGAGCTGGTGTGGGATATGAGGATTTGAAAGCCCAGCACAGTCCAGGGTCAGGTGGGCAGGGCAGGGCAGTGGGCACAAGTGTCCTCCATTCTTTTCACAGACGAGATGCTATCCGCCATGGGGAGGTCCAGATGGGCGATTCCAGCTTGGCTGCCCCTCTATCCACCTGGATCTTAACTCTCAGAGCTTTAGTTTCCCCCAAGTACAGACCAAAGAGAACCCTGCTGGCGGCTCAGCCTGAGTGCCAAGTTGAATTCTCACTGGGATGCCAAGGCCCCCTCCTCTCCCTGCCTTTCCCTGCCTGGTCCTGGAATCGCCTGGAAACCATCACACGGAAAGCGCCATCTCAGCTTTCCGTGGCGCATTTTGGCTGGGAAAACGGGGGTGTCCTCCCTCCCTTCTTTCCAGGCCACTCGGGCAGGGCATCCCAGGGCGATCGCCGCGTGGCGCTGGGGACCCAGTGTGGTCCCCACGGTGGGAAGCCCAGCGGGCAGCGGACGCCGTGGTGGGCGACGCTGGGAAGTGTAGGAGCCGATGGGCAGCGAGGGCACAGGTGGGCCTGGGTGGGGCTGAGTGGGAAGCTGGCGGCACCGCCCACCCACCCACCTACCTACCTGCAGCGCCACCCGCCCGGCCTTACCAGCTGCGCGGCGCCCCGGCTCCGGGCTGGGTGAGTGTGGGAGGGGAGTGCCAAGCCCGCTGCGGCCCTTATAGAATGCGGAAGGGGAGTGTCAGTGTGGCCCCGGGCAGGCGACGCGGGCGGGCGGAGCAGCGGCCCTTTCCGCTGGTGTCTGCCTGGAGTCCAGGCTTCCAGGATTTGATAAAAGCAGAAATCTGCCTGGGAGGACGCACGGCCTCTGCAGGGACTCAGCACTTTTCTCAGATCGAGGCCTGTCCCAAACCTCTGGCAGCCCCATAAATTATTATAAAAATTTTTTACTAAAGTGTGAATGACTGAGATGATAGAATGTGTCAGTTCTTACAGGACCAGCGATTCCCTTTTGAATCCCATCTGTGGACTCCAAATGCCAGAAGATTGTTTGGAGGGTGAAAGAAGAGGAGAAAGGGAATGGTTTGGGAAAAAGAGAGGCCTCCATGATAAGATTAAAAGATTAGTTCCAAACAATGTCTTCTTCCACGTCACTGTTTTTTCAGGTGCCCAAAGTAAGTTCAGCCTCTGAATCACCCCTGGCAAGGATGACTATTTTTGAATACCCTTTCCCCTTCAAATTACAATGACTGAGGTTGGGTTGTCTTTAACTTTTTGTGGGGGAGTCTGTTTCCCTCTTTAAATGTCTGGATATGTAACTTCACCAAAATCGACAGTGCTTTTGGGTATGAAATGATTCTGCGCTCAGGAAACCTCTCTGTTTTCTTACAAATCGCATCATGAAGAAAGATCCTATTTGCTTTGTTAGCATGGATCGTACCATGTGAATGGGGCTGGTGGACTTTTTCACCTCTGAGAGTTATTTCTAATGAAGGGACAAAGAGGATTCCTGAAAAAGGTGATTTTAAAAGTACTGTGGTTTGAAAATTAAAAAAAAAAAAACAGCAAGAATCCAATAATCAAGATTGTGTGCTGTACATTGTTTTACAATTTTTTTTTAGAGTAAAAATGGTGCTTGTTGTAACCGGTCATAATTATGCTGGCATGGCTGATAGCCTTGCCATCATTTCCCATAGAATTGGAGAGAATCCCCTCAATGTCAGAAAGTCAGGAATGAAAGGATTCATTTATTTTTTTTTTTTAACTAAGGAAAACATTGCTTCAAATTTTTATTTTTTTTTCTTTTTACATTGTATTTGTGCCGTCTATATCAAATAAAATGGAAACCATTTCCTAAATCAATACAGGCATTGTGTGTTGGAGTTAAAATCGATCTTCATACATCAATTAGTACATGTACTATTATCGTTTGGATCTGGAATGTCCCCAAAGGCCCCTGGGTTGAAGCCTTTGTGCCCAGAGCAGCAATGTCCAGGGGAGGGGCTTGCAGGAAGTGGTTGGATCATGAGGGCTCTGACCTCATCAGGGGATAAACCCTTGACAGATGAGTAATTTGATGACATTAGTGGGAAGTGGTACAAACTGTAGGAGGTGCAACCTAATTAGGGGTATAAGTGCTCTGGAGCGTGCTCTTGGAGATATATCTTGTCTTCTTGTCCTGGGTCCCTTCCTCTTTCTCTGCTTCCTGGCTCAGGATGTGCTCTCTAAAGAAGAAAAGAGAGGGTGGCTGGGAACACTGAGGTCTCATAGTCACAGCCTCATCCGGAGGCTGCCCCGCCCACCTCCACAGGTTCTTCAGGGCTGGGTTTTCCTTGTCGTGGAGTGCTGGGTTCAGTGTCCACACTGTCCCAGTCAGACAGTACCACCCTCTAGCAAGCCGTCTTCATGTCCTATCTTCAAGGGCTGTCTGAGTCAGCTCTCCCATCCTTCCATCACCTGCAGGTGACAGGTGCATAGAGAACCCATGTATTCTATGCAGGTTGCTGGGTCGCTGGGGCAGCCAAGGATGGTTCTTGGTTCCAGTGAGGTCTCTTGAGATATCCAAACACGTGACAATCAGCTCTTCTCAAGGGTGTCCATAGTAGTCCCAGCATCCACACGAGTGACATACATGTCACTTTCAGGCAGCAAACTGTTGCCATTGTCCTTGTTGCCACAATGGGCTGATCCTTTGATAATCGAGTCACTCAGTGGGCCTTTTCCCATCAAATGGCTCAGCTGCTGGCAATGGCTCCTGAGGTAGTGAGAATGGAGTTAGATATGGTGGTGGCCTGTGTGGCCGTCAGCACTGCATGCAGTTCGGCCCTTTGAATAGAATATTTATGTCTAGTCCCAGTCGAAAGATGGCCATCTAGTGGCCAGACAGCATCCACAGCCAAATGGTCTCATCTGCTCATAGTTTCACAGAGTGACACTAAACCATGCCACACCATCAGTAGGCACACCTTTAAATCCTGGACCCCAGGGAGATGCATGAGGAGCCATAGTACCTCCTGTGGGTCATCTGGTTCTTTCTGATCAGCTAGCCATTTTTTCCTGGAGCTTGCTGGTCCTTTGGGTTTTTTTGCTGGGCCTGATCTTGAATGTACTATTTCCCTTTAATAGTTGAGCTTCATCAAGCCATTTGTGCTACTATAACAAAATGCCGCAGACTAGGAAGTTTATAAACAACAGGAATTTATTTCTCATAGTTTTGGAGACTGCAAGATCAAAGCATGAGCAGGTTTAGTGTCTGGTGAGGGCTGCTCTTTGCTTCCAAGATGGCACCTTGTTTCTGTGTCCTCAGTGGTAGGCCAAAAGGGGCCAGTGCTATTTGATGCCTCCTTTTTCACCCACAATTTTTTTACTGGTGCATTATAGTTGTATATACCTATGGGATTTGTTGTTACATATTCATACATGTACATAATACACAATAGGACAATGTAATTTGGTCAATATCACTCCCCAGCACGTTCTCCCTCCCTCTTCACCTCCTAACCTTTGACCTCTTTCCTCTACTTATCTCCCTTTGATTTTCATTAGATCCTCCCCCATCTATCTGTCTTTTCCTTTTCCTCTCTAGTGTCCGTATATGTGTGAAACATATGACCCTTGACCTTTTGAGTTTGATTTATTTGTCCATTATCCTGCAAGTGATATAATTTCATTTTTCTTATTGACTGAATAAAACTCCATTTTTGGATTATATTCCACATTTTCTTTACCTCTTCATCAGTTGATGCCTCTTTCATAAGGGTTTTAATCCCATTTACAAGGGAGGAGCTCAGGACACAATCACTCCCTAAAAAGCCCAACTCTTAGTACTGTTACATTGGGGACTAAGTTTTAACATGGGTTTTGGAGGGAACACATTCAAACAATAACATCCCACCCTGACACCCACCCCCATTCATGTCTGATTTAATATGGACTGAGTATGTCCTCCAAAAATCCAGGTGTTCAAATATAATCCCCATTGTGAGGTATTAAGATGGTAGAAACTTCGTTCAATTATGGTGTTTAGAGGTGGAGCCTTTGAGATGTGATCAGGATTAGAATAAGTCATCTGGGAGCCACCAGGATTGAATACTGGTGATTTATGGGACAAGGGAGAGCAACTAGAAGAGACACATCAGTCCCTGTCTCTCGCTATGTGACACTTATCTGTGTAGGGACTCTGCCAGCATGAGGCCATCATTAGATGCAGAACTTTGAACCTCAAGAACTATGAGCTAAATAAACCTAATTTCTTCATAAAGTTACCCAGCTCCAGGTATTTTGTTATAGTACCACAAAACAGACCAATACAATGTCCTTCTCACATATAAAATCATTTTTTCTACCCCAACAGCCCTCAAAGCCCGAATTTGTTCTAGTATCATCTAAATCATATATAGATAAGACTCAAAAGTATAATTCATACAGAGGCAAATTCCCCTACCACTGTGAACTTTGAAACCAAACAAACTATGTGCTTTCAAAATGCAGACTTAAGATAGACATTCCCATTCAAAATGGGAGCAACAGGCAAGAAGAAAGGAGCAGCAGGTTACACATCAAATCCAAAGCCCAACATCACACACACAGGCACAAATTAAACCTTGAGGCTTGAGAACTATCTCCTATGAGCCCACATTCCACTGCCTGGACATATTAGCATAGTGATTGGGTGACCGAGGCTCCAGGGGTTTCCACCCCCATAGCTTGGCTTGGTGCAGTCCATACAGCAGCCCATATGGGGTAGAATCTGGTGTCTGTGGCTTTCCCAGGATGCCATTGTATGCTGGTTGCTCTGCAGTTCTGGGGTCTTGGGGGTGGCCCTGTCTCTCAGCTTCACTAAACATTACCCCAGTGGGGATTCTTTGCAGTGGTCCCAATTCCATGGCTCCAGTAGGCTTCATTGAAGACTCTATGGTAGCCCTACCTCTATGGCAGTTTGTCGTGTAGGACTCAAGTCTCTCCAAGTGTCCCTTGAAAAGCAGGTGGAATTAGCCAGGCCTCCATAGCTCATGCCCTCTGCTTTCCTGCAGAGGTTGAACCACATGGATGCCCCCAAGGTTACAGGAAGGGCTGCCTGAGCCAACCAGTGCTGCACAGGAATTCAGGGAGCAGAGACGAGGCTGCCCTGAGTACCTCCCTAGAAACCATTATGCCCTCCATGCCCTGGCAGTCTGGGCCTGTGACGGGAGTGGCCGCACCCACAACCTGAGATGCACCCACAACCCCCTTTGGGGTGGGTGAGTCTAGTACAATCTTGATGAGTGGCATCTGGTTTTCTTCCAGTTACACTAATCTGTATCAAATGTTAGTTTTGGCCAAACCCTTAGTGTTCTCTCCCAACCACGTCTTTTTATTCTTTACATGGCCAAGCTGAGAATTTTCCAAATTTTTAAGTTTTGCTTTGCTTTTGATTATAAATTCTATCTTTAATTTTTTTTTGGCCCTCATCTTACATTTTACTACAAGAAATCAAGGGCTTTCAACATTTTGCTCAGCCATTTCTTCTAGAGAATATCCCAGTTCATTGCTTTTAAGTTCTGCCATCCACAAAAGCACTAGGGTGTGGACATAATTCTGCCAAGTTCTTTGTCACTTTATAGCAAGGATGGCCTTTCCTCCAGTTTGCAATACTTTTTTCTTCATTTCCATCTAAGATAGGACTGGAATTGCCTTTGTGGTCCATATTTCTACCAATGCTCTGATCATGACCACTTAAGTAACCACTCAAAAGACTTAGGATCTCGCTTCAGTTTTCTCTCCTGAGCACTTCCCAGAATCATCCTTAACG